GGCTTCAGCAAGCCATGGAATAGTGGGGACCTGCCACTCCACAAGGCAGATGTCATCTAGCAAGAAAAGATAATAAGTAAGACAGAAACGCAGTGGGAAATTGCGAATCCTGCAACATCTCGTGCACGCTATCTGAGGATCCTGATTGAAATGTCTGGATTCCAAAGAATTGTGTAAACTCCAACTTTCATCTCTTTACTCTGAAGAAAAGATAGCTTTTGTCTAGACTTTGCTATGTTTCTGTCATGAGTATAGGATGGGTTTCCTGTAGCTGGAAGTTTCTCTGGTCCTGCCTGGGCCCCCAAGTTAGATGAATCTCTCCCACTTGAGTCCCACAGCTGTTTGGTCCTATGTAAGCATACAGAGACTTATATTATTTACAAACTGTATGTGCTATGGGTCAGGCTTCTTGTTAGCTAGCTCTTATAACTTAATTCAACCCATTTCTATTAATCTATGTTGCCACGTGGCCGTGCATTACCAGTCTGCTGGCATCTTGTTGCTCCTTGGGCAGCTGGCTCGACTCTCCTCCGACTCCACCCTTCTTCATCTAGTCTTTAGATTGCATGTTCCTCCTAACCTTATCCTGCCCTGCCATAAGTCAATGCAGCTTTGTTCATCAACCAATCAGAGCAACACATATTCACAGTGTACAGAAAGACATCCCACAGTGGTTTCCAAGGCAACTTAGCTGTCATTTGCATCTTTCGTATTGAATCAGTTCTCTTTAACCCTGCTGCAAAGCTCCATGTTGACTTACATGTTGCACCTTAGTGTCTACATATGTAGTACAATTTGGACAGTGCCTTCAAGTTTGGCTTCAATCTTGGGATAGTTCCAGACCCCATAGCAAGGTTTCTTTTGTTATCTGGGTTCTGTCCCTGAAGAAACTTTCCTAGAAGTATAGTTTAGAGCCTGAACCTCTACGAGGGCTCCTCACCTTTCAAATTAAATTGCACTTCCAAAAGATAGAGGCTTCCATGGATGTGTTCTTGGCTCAGAACACATTTATCATTGGCTCAAGGTATCAGAATTGCCAATATTGACCTTAATCTCTCTGACAATTACATCAGATTTCAAATGGTCTATGAATTTAAAGTCACTGTGGTCTTAGAATGAGAATGTCACCTATAGGCTCATACAATGGAAGGCTTGGGCACCAGTTGGTAGGAACTGTTTGGGAAGGATTAGGAGGTATGGCCTTGTCATAAGGGATGTGTCACTGGGGGGTGGATTTTGAAAATGCAGGATCCCAAGACATTCCCAGTTAGCTTTATCTACCTCCTATTGTGGATAAATATGTAAACTGTTACTGATTGAAGAAAAGGCTTGCCCACCTGATACTATGCTCTCCAGCAGAGGACATTTGCACAATGAAACAATGATCCATGAATTATTAATGTATCATCTCATGGCAATTAAAAAGACACTTTTTTTTGTGATTTTCCCATGGAGAAGAGAAAGAATGTGTACTCACCTCAGTGATCACAAAATTTTACAGAAAAATGGATGAATGTTGAACATATATCAGTTGAGATCACCCAGTCATATAAAGAAATATACTGCATGTTCCCATATGGTTAGTATAGACAGTAATATATCTACATATGTTAAGAAATGTGTATGTGCATATACTATGTAAAGTAGAAAAGGGAATAAAGGTTAAATATTAGGAGATGAGAACGATTTAAATCAGGTAATGAACATGGGTTGTGAAAGAGGACATAAGAACTGATTTTTAGGTTCCAACTCTGCCATGGATTTTAGTTTTCATGGTGTATAAGTGCATAAAATATATTCAGTGCAGACAGTGTCAAATCCAATGTGAATGCCTCAGAGTCTGTTCTGAATGTCCCTTCTAACTGAATGTCTCTTCTAACTGCACAGAAGTTCATGACCTCTGTAGTGTAATAGGCTGTCTCTTGGGCCACCAACCAGCTCCCAAATCATGCACGGAGACTTATTCGTTATGAATGCTCAGCCTTAGCTCAGGCTTGTTTCTTGCTAGTTCCTATAGCTTAACTTGTTTCTCTTTATCTATATTTTTACCTTGGGGCTCTTTATCCTTCTTTTTTTTTTCCTGTATATCTTGTTTTCCTGCTGTCTCTATGGCTGTCTGGTGGCTACTTGGCTTCTGGCCCTGGCATGTCCTTCTATCCCTCATTCTCTTCTACTTTTCCTCCACCCTAGATTTTTCTTCCTATTTATTCTATCTGCCTGTGAGCTGCACATATCACTATCCTGCCTAGCTATTGGCCATTCAGCATTTTATTAGAGCAATCAGGTGCCTTAGGCAGGCAAGATGAAACAAATGCAACACATCTTTACATTGTTAATAACGGAAGCAAAAACAAATGTAACACAACTTTACAGAGTTAAAGTAATGTTCCACAGCATAAACAAATGTAACACACCTTTGCCTAGTTAAAATAATATTCCACAAAACTGTAGTTTTCAGCTCTTGATAATTTTCACATATAAATTATTCTTTACTTTCAAATTAATAAAGTTTAAAAATAAAGATTTAAATGAGAAATGCCAGCTGAGATATGAGTCTGTACTATTTAGTCCTGAGAGTATATGTCTCTGCTATACTGTCTACTCTTGACAGTGTGAGCCTTTGCTATGTTATTTACTCCTGAGTGTATCTCTGCCATACTTCTCACATGAGCTGGTCCCTTGAGAAGCTTTCCCCACAGACTGTAGCTCTAAGAAATCATTCTCTTGTAGAACAAATGTACATCCATTAAGGTCATTTCCATTCATAATGAAATCTTCTTATATTCTGAAAAAATTACTAACTAGCTACAGACCCAAGCAGGAAGGAAACATTGACTCACATACACATAGCACACCCAACCTTTGTTCAAGGTGTATTGGTGACCACATCTTAGACATTTTAAAAAAAAGAAACCTTCCCACATATCAGCCTTTCTTTGTTATTAACTCTGATGGAGATTAAAGCCAGAATCATAGACACTTTCATTGCCACGTAATCTAGAGGTTTTTCATTTTTCTGTTTTTTTTTGTTTTTTTTTTTTTAATTGTGCATATCACATTAACAAAACTCAATGACAGAGATATGCGACATGTTGTCTGGTAACTTTCTACATTTGACTGTTAGGCTCCTTTCCTAACTTTAGCAATGATGGGTAAACAGGAACAACAACATCTGTGATCACTATGAAGGCAGGAGGGAGGTAAAACCACTGCTCCTCATTACTCTATGTACTCATGGCAAAGCCAAGTGGACAACATGTGGTGAGACTGCTGAATCTCATCTCTGCAAAACTGTCCCTGTCTCTGCCCTGAGGTTACAGTGGTGCAGGGCTCCTGAGTCCTCACATCTGAGCCCTTCTGGGAGTCACTCACTTGATCCCTCATGATGCCTTCCCAGTAGGAAGCTGACCCTCTGTAAACTTTATGACACCCGGATTCATGTGCTGTAATCACTGCTAAAACGGGTCAGTTTGGATGTGTCTAAAGCCAACAAGCAAGCATTAAAATATTTATTTTGGGAGAATTTAACATATGTATATAAATGTTTTATTCAAATCTCCACATTCCTTCACCTATTGCTTCTCACCCTTAAAAACACTTTACTCTCCCTATTTGGTGGGCTTTTTCTTTGTTATTTCCTTCATCCCACTTAGTGCTCCCTCCATGTGTAGGGGTGTAGGTCAGTTTGACTGGAACCTGGAAGCCTCTCAGGTTGACTCTCTCCCTCAGGAGGCATCAATTGCCAATAGCTCCTCCGCTTAGGGAGAGACACAGTGAGGGCCTAATGCAACCATGCTTGTTCTATGTCCCGTTTAGTTTGTGTAAGTGTTGTCTGGGTAATAATAGCCACAGTATGGGGTTTTTTGTTGTTGTTGTCTTGTTTTGGAGACAGGGTTTTTCTGTGTCGTTTTGGATCCTATTCTGGAACTTGCTCTGTACACCAGGCTAGCTTGGAACTCATAAAAATCCACCTGCCTCTGCCTCCCAAGTGCTGGGATTAAAGGCATGCACCACCACCTGGTGCCACAGTGTGTTCATGCATGAAATGGTAGTGACATTTCTAGCAATGTTTCACTGTTCTACAGATGTTTCAACACTTCTACTATCTTAGTGGAGACACCTACTACATCTGGCTCTGACATTCTTTCTGCCTCTTCTCCCTCGGAAACCCATGACTTTTGGCTTTAGATGTTCGTAAGGGACCTCTTTTACAATGTGTGACACAGGTGTCACTTTTAGATTAGGGCCCTGCACAGTCTAATGTTCTCTACACTTGAACCAATTTGTGTCTGCGTATTATTCTCCATCGACAACACAATTAAATTTTCTGGTGGGTGTTGAGAGGTGCCTCACTCTGTTGGTAGAAAGATGAGAACTTGGGTTGATGTAGTTAGTATCCATTTATTAGAATAACAGCAGTAAATTCTCCCTAGCACATATCACCCAGGCAAAAGTGTATCACCAATTTAATGTCACATTAGTTCCCGTTTGTGGAATGAGCTTCAAATCCAATCAGAAAGAGATTGGTTCCTCTCATAACTTCCCTGCCATTATTGCTCTATGGGCACTGTTGTTTTTTATGAGGCACAGCAGCTGCACCTGATGCCATCTCTGCCTCACCTGATGACTGTGTCTCTGCAGCTGCTGCCTTAGACCAGAAAAGCCTGCATGTACTTTTAACTAACTCTCTATCCTTTTATTTTACCAATAAGGATTCAGGAGCCAGATACTGCATGACAACCTGCTAGCTCAGAGAGACAGAGATTCTTACACACCTAGGGGAGATATTACAGGAGCTTGGATGACTCTACTGGGAAAAACAAGAGTAACTATGACACAGCCCAGATCTCAGATTCCAGGCACCCAATGGAGAAAGTTAACGTGGTGAAAATTTCATGGAACATTTATAGTTGCAGAATAAAGAAACTCATTAATCAAGGCAAGTTTCAAACACACTGCTTGAACAAACTGTTGTTGGTTACAGCAAAGAGAAGTCTCTACTCTTCTCTGATGACATGCTTAGTGTTTGTGCTCTTGATAATTAGATGTTTGTGTTGACATTCCAAAATAATTAACTTAATATTCTCCTCTATGGATACATTAGAGTGGATAAGACCTGAATTCTTAGCAAAGACTTTACCACACTTCACACACTTATGGAGTTTGTAGTCAGAATGAATCTTTTGATGTGTTTTAAGGGTTGAAGAAATAAACTTTTTAAGACATTTGTAGGATTTCTCTCCCATATGAATTATCATGTGTTGAGTAAGGATCTATAATGATTAACAAAGTCTATGCCATATTCCCCACACTTTTAAGAATTGCCTTCAGAATGAATTTTGGTCTTTTTTTTATGTCGTCTAAGGGTTGAAGAAGAGGAAAAACATCTGTCACAGTCTTCACATTTGAAGAGTTTCTGCCCAGTATGAACTTTCTTGTGTTTCCTAAGGGATGAGAGATAATGAAAGGCTTTGTGACATTCTTCACACTTGTAGGGTTTCTCTCCAGTGTGAATTGTTTGATGTTCCCGAAAACTCCTAGAATAGGAAAACCGTTTGCCACAGTCTGCACAGGTATAAGGATTGTCTTCAGAATGGATTGTCTGATGTCCTCTAAGGGATAAAGATGAATAAAAACATCTGCCACACTCTTCACACTTGTAGGGATTGTCTTCAGAGTGAATTGTTTGATGGCGCCGAAGGGATGAAGATAAATAAAAACATTTGCCACATTTTTCACACTTGTATGATTTCTCTCCAGTATGAATTGTCTGATGTTCTTGAAGGTTTGTAAAACAGGACAACATTTTACCACACTCTGCACACTTGTAGGGATTGTCTTCAGAATGGATTGGTTGATGTCGTATAAGGGATGAAGATGAGCAAAAACATTTGCCACACTCTTTACACTTGTAGGCTTTCTCTCCAGTGTGGACCGTCTGATGCTCTTGAAGGTGTGCAAAGGAGGAAAACCTTTTGCCACACTCTTCACATTTGCAGGGATTGTCTTCAGAATGGATTGTTTGATGTCGTTTAAGCGATGAAGATGAGCAGAAGCACTTGCCACACTCTTCGCACTTGTAGGCTTTCTCTGCAAGATGAGCTGCCTTGTCCTCAATGAGGAAAGCAGTCTTAGTAAATTCTTTTCCACTCAGTTTACACTTGTAAAGTTTCTCTCCAGTATGAACTGCCTTGTGGTTCTCAAGGCCAGAGTGATAACGAAAGGCTTTGTGACATTCTTCACACCTGTATGGTCTCTCTGCACTATGAATTGTATGATGTTCCTGAAGCTTTGCAGAATGGGAAAAACTCTTGCCACACTCTTCACACTTGTAGGGACTGTCTTTGGAGTGAACTGCTTGATGTTGTTTAAGGTACAAAAGTGAGGAAAAACATTTGCCACATTCTTCACACTTGTAGTGTTTCTTCTCTGCTGTATGAATTCGCTGATGCACCTGAAGGAATGATGGTTCATAAAAAGCTCTGCCACACTCTTCACACTTGTAGGGTTTTTCTCCAGAATGAATTCTTTGATGTTGCTTCAGCATTGAAGGATAGTAAAATAATTTGCCACATTCTTCACACTTGTAAGTTTTTTCATCAGTATGGTTTTTCTGGTGTATAAAAAGTGATGAGCGAGTACTAAACGCCTTATGACATTCTTTACACTTATAGGGTTTTTCTCCAGTATGAAGTCTCTGGTGTATGGAAAGTGTTTTATGAGAACTAAGGGCCTTACCACATTCTTTACACTTGTAGGGTTTCTCCTTTGTATGAATTCTCTGGTGTTGAATATGCGGTGAGTTACAATCAATGGCCTTGTTGTAAATGTTATAATCATCGGTTGTTGTTCCTGTTGAGGAAAAGTTGAGATATGAACAAAACTAGGAAATATTCTTCATACTTACAATGCTAATCTTTTTAAAAGGAAATTTTTACTCCTACATATTGTAGCATGAATGAGAAAGTACAGTACTATTGTTGTTTATTTGTTTATTTTCTTTTGGGACCCAAAACCCAGCTCCCAAATCAATCACACACAGAGGCTTATTCTGACATATAAATGTCTAGCCTTAGCTTGGCTTGTTTCTTGACAGTTTTTCTCAACCTAGATTATCCTATCTCACTTTTACTCTTACTCTGTGGATGGTTTGGTGACTGAGTGGCTGGCCCCTGCCCTCCACTTCTTTCTCTCACTCCTAGATCTCCTTCTATTAATTCCTTCTGCCTGCCAGCCCCACCTATTTTTTCTCCTGTCTTGTCATTGGATGTTCAGCTCTTTATTAGACCATCAAGTATTTCAGATAGGCACAATAACACAGCTTCACGAGTTAAACAAATGCAACATAAACAAAAGTAACACACTTTAAAATAATATTCCCCAACATAGAACATTTCAAAACCTATAGGCACTAAGCATAAATGCTAAAATATTGTAGGTAGCAATGATCTCTACTTCTACTAGACAAAGGGCACAACAGGATAGAATATAGAAATAATGGCATATTATTCAAAGTTTAATAACTAAGTAAGTTGTAAGGGCATTTTACTAAGAGAAATAAGCCCATTAAACAACAGAGACGTTATATGGCCAGACACCCATGAAATTATAAAGTAACCGAGCCTGGAAAGAGAAAGTTAATTGTGATTTTGTGAATTTGGGCTATCATCTAAATACAAGATTTTTATCCTCCACATAGAGTTTTATTTTGGAAGGTACAAAAGGTATGCTACACAAGAAGTAGATAAGTTTATTGCTCAAAAATTCAGGACAGTATTTTGTTTTATTTGGATGACAAGAACATATAAACCTGGAGTATATATGTTGATAACTTGAAACATATCAAGTCATGATAAAAAAGAAAACTTCAGGTTCACCTGTGCATTACACAAATTTTGCTGTGGCAACATATTTGTCAGTGAATAGATGACAAAATGACTGATTTCCTTTTTTGATTGTTTTTGTTTTTTCGAGACAATGGTTCTCTATGTAGACCTTGCTGTCCTGGAACTCAATATCTAGACCAGGCTGGCCTCAAACTCAGAAATCCACCTACCTCTGTCTCTCAAGTGCTGGGATTAATGGGATTAATGGAGTAGGCCACCATGCCTAGGCAATAAAATTATGTATTTCTAAAATTTCTTTACTTACAAGAGTAAACTGCTATTGAGCACTAAATAGAGAGACAAGGAACGAGGCATGAAAACAGGAAACCTGTGTTTACCTATGAAGTAACAATTCACAGAGCAGAGCTTGTAGATATTCTGATATCTTACACTGTCCTTATGTACTTTATCAATGTGTTGCATCAATCCACCAAAATATATAGGGAATGTATAACAAATGATTATAGGTTATACACACCTCTGAAATAATACCAAAGAATATCAAATCGCAAAGTAAAGAAAAACATTTTGAAACCACAAAATTTTGAAAGCTTAGTGGTGAGGTATGAAATGTATACTCCTAGTTACGGACAGTTTTAATCTTTGAATATATATCCACAAAGGGCATGCATTTTAAACCCTTATTGCCGAGTGTGTGATAAAGAAAATATTTAGAAGATATCTTCATCAAAGACAAAAAACTCTGATGGGGTCACTTTCCTCAACATGTATCTAAGTGACATGAAAGAACTCATGTGTGAAGTTAGGTTCATACAATGGTCTCACACCTAGGTATTTAGAAATGTGTGCAATTTTCAGATGTGTAGAAACTAGTACAGAGTCTGTTACCGAACTGTTCAAAGTGAGTCATTTATTTTGCCTAAGTTTTACCCAACTGCTCCCCCAACTGGACAATCCTGCTGAGAAAATGTTCTCAGGCAGCCTCATGGGCAGGTCTAGAAGATCCACTGTTTTACAACAAGAAACAAATTGTGTGAATCAATGAAGGTAAAAGTTTTGGATTTTTGGCCCCTGATCTGGCTGTGGTATGATGTAACTGTGGGTTTGGCTTTATAAACCCAATTAAACTCGGGTTGGAGAGTGCCGGAATGACCACTGCATTTCCTGACACAAAACCCAACGCTGTCCTTCTGGTCCTCCAACGGGGTAGGTGTGGGTATTTTTGTCTTGTCCATATTCTGGTAAAACAGCTGACAGGGACTCCTTCCCTGGGTCTCCTTCTAAGAGTAAAGATGTTGACTGAAGAAGTAAGGGATAAAATTCAGTTAAATCCACACCTTATGTCATTTCTGTGGATGCCGAAGGAGTGACTGTATCGTCCACTCCATCTGTGCTCTCTCTGCTGTTGTTATGGACCTTACACTTTGTCACCTTTCCTGACCCTCCTTGTGGAACAGCGAGTCAGCCACTCTCTGAGCTCACTGTGGATTCAAGGCTACTTGGACGCTGTGGGGTTCCTCTGTCCTCCTGCCTGTCCTCCATGGGCAGTGCCAACGTCCTCTCTGAGGCTGTGTTAGTGGAGCTGGGAAACTCCATGTCTATTCCTCTTCAACTTCCTCATCCCTCGCACTGAGTTCCACCTTATGGTATTATGATGAAACAGGCTACTTAACGTAGAAGGTCTGCAGGATTGATTTAGATTTTATACAGTACACTATAAAGGGTTCAAGAGACTGAAGTGCCCAGTTCCTCCATGAATGTATTTATGTTTAAATTTTGTTTTGGTATAAAAGAATTTCAATTCAACAATCATAATTTTAGAGTGTGAAATTTTTAACAGATATAAATTACTTCATTTATCAAGTCTTACTGATGAGAGTCACTATTTAATTGTAAGCTGTTACAACAAAGGTAACTAAGACAGAATAGCCAATGATGAGTCACCTAATCAATGGTGGAATATACTTAGTGTGCCCAGAGTTGTGTTCACATTCATGCTAAATACAAATATAATTCATTTACAGACACAATATTAGAGGGAGAGAAAATTTCCTACCTTCCATTATCCAGTCCTCTGTACATGTCATCAAAGTTAAGCCTAAAGCAGGTAACTGAAATGAATTTAAGTTCAACTTCTTTTTTCCTTACTATAGAATAACATTAAAATCAGATGTACTTAAAGTAACTGGTTATTGGGCCAGAAGTGGTGACTCATACTTTTAATCCCAGCACTCAAGAGCAGAGGCAGAAAGATCATTTTGAGTTCAGTGCCAGCCTGGTCTAAAAAGCTATCTCAAGGAAAGCCAAGGCTATAGTCAAACCCTGTCTTTAAAAACAAAAACAAAAACAACATAGAAATCTGGTTATTGAAATTGAATACTACACTTGTAGGGCAGGACACACAAGATAGATGATCATCCTTACTCTCACATTGCACACAGACCTGCTGAATTAATGGCATTCTAGTTTCAACACAGGATAAGGATGCATGGGGAATAGGACTTGTCGGTGTCTGCTGTTCCTGTCTCCCTCTGACCTGCAAACCAGACCAGGAAATCCTATTCCTTATCTGTAGAGAAGATGAATCACTCCTCATGTTTCACAAGATGGAGTGGATTCTATCACTCTGAGGAGGATCTTAGATTCTGCACCACATTCTAAATGTGCCAAGCAATGAAAACACTCATTGCAATTTCTTAGCACTCCATGTCTCCTGAACTGATAGTTGAGGATACCAAGGGGATCCTTATACCTATGCTTGACACCCAACTGATATGAGAACTACACGCCAGTTCAAATGGCCATGCCCTGACCCCTGGCTTTGAATTTCCTCCTCTTAACAAAGCTAACCCCAGAGCTGAGATGTCAATGTCTGATTGTGTAAGGAATCCTCAGCAAAGTGGTAGATAATATATGACAGAGGCTCTGCCACATGGTGGGTCAGGACAGCAGGATGAACTATGGGCACGCATTTAAACTAAGTTGCATATGCGATGTGTGGACCCACGACATCAGGTAAAGAAAGCACTACAGCCTGAGGAGGAGGTGAGGTTTACTGTAAAGTTCACCCAAAGCAGTCACTCTGAGTTACTTTCCAGAGACATCTGGGACCAGCTCCTCTGCTGTGGAATAATCTTTTTGTACAACAGGAATATATATTACTCTCACTGTTAATAAAAAGCTGATTGGCTGATGGGTAGGCAGGATTTTTTAGGCAAGGAGAATGCTGGGAAAAAGAAGAGTGGAGAGAGAAGAGTTGCCAGTAGATACAGAGAGAAACAAGATGAATGTATCCTGTAGAAAGAAGATACAAATATGGGTTTGTTTAAAATGTAGGAGCCAGCTAATAATGAGCCTAAGGTATTTTTGCCGAGCATTTATAATTAAGTCTCCACTTTGGTTATTTTGGAGCAGCTGCTGGGACAGGGAAACTCTGCCTACAAATGGCATTCCAACTTGGTGCACCACAATCACATAAGACCTGAGAAAGCTTTAAAAAAATACTGAACACAAAAATGGAGCCGAATGCAGCTTCCTAGTCTTGTGTCCCTCATGTGGGAAGAGGTGAGTCTCCTGGCAGCTGCCTACAGATTTGAGCCACCTGAGCTCTGCAAGCACACTGTGTGGCAGCTTTGATGTTTTGCTCATGCAGACAGAAAAGGTTGCAGATGCTCAGGAAAGACAGATGCAGACAGGGGAAAAAAATCTCTAGACCAGTTACAGTGTGTTTAAGAATGTACAAAGGTTTGGGAAAGAAAAGTAAAAGGGTAGAGACAGTCAGAAAAAATATATAACTGTGTTTAAAATAATAAAGTAAAAGCCCTTGGAAAGAAAGTAAAGTAATATAAAAGAAAAAAGCCACATAAAGAGGGGAAATACACAGAGTGTCTAGATCTGTATGTTGTGTTGTCTTTGGATTTTCTGATTGCTAATGAAGGAACAACAACTACTAAGACACATTGGACTATGAAAACTGCTGGATTAAACCAACCTGTATATTTTTAAAATGCCTTGACTGAAAAAAAAAAACAAAACCAAAAAACAGGAAATTTCCTGGCTACAAACATAAAGAAATAAAGATAGAAAAACTACAAAACATGTGATGTATATTTTACATGCTCAAACATAAAACAAAAACTCATCTTTGGCTGACTTGTGTATACCACATACACTATACTTGTATTAACACAGATATGTATGTTACGTTTAAAAGTTTATGCACTTTCAGAAGGGGACCAGACAGCAATAAAAATGGATGGCCCACATAATCCAACATCTCAGAGCACCTCTGTTGCAATTTTTTCAGAATTGTGTGTCCTAAACAGTTTCACGGCTGTTGGCTGAGATGATCCAGCCTCACAGACTACACTAGTCAAGACCTACCAATTATCCTGATTTACTCAAGATTCCCACAAAGATACCAGTGCCCATAGAGAACAGGAAGTAATCCAAAGAATGACACTCACATTCCCAACATGTGGGTTACAGATGTTTATTATTATTTAAGGGAGATTAGTTACAGGTTTTTATTGTTCTTAGTAAAATAAAGAAAAAAGGCTAAACAAAAGAGTTAAATTCAAAGATCTCTTTCTAAAGGAAAAAGGGGGATATGATACAGAAATGATGGGATAAAAGGGTAGATTATTGAATCCACTTTAAGCCAAAAGGCAATAATTAATCTCAAAATAGTTTACACTGGTATGGATTTTGGTTTATTGATACAAATTAAAGGTTAATTTTTTTTTATACTGTGTGTATGTTTCTACTCGTTTGGCATATTGTGTTTATGCAGTGTGGTGATACATTGTGTACCCTAATAAAATTTGCCTTAAGATCAAAGAACAGAACAAGCCACTAGATTAAACATAGAGGCCAGGCAGTGGCGGCTCACATCTTTAACCCCAGCACTCGAGATAACACACCTTTGCTAACAGTATTTGGGAAGCACACATGCCATTAATCCCAGCACTGGGAAGGAAGTGAGGGCTGGATGGAGAAAGAAAGGTATATAAGGTGTTAGTAGACAGGAACTCGATGCTTTTTGGATGACGCCCTTTTCTCTGAGAGCCTTTCAAATGAGGACTCAGAGGCACTCAACAGAGGATCTGTGGGGTTGGGGAGGTGAGACATGGCAGTGGCTTGTTCCTTTGTCTCTCTGATTCTGAGTTTTTTATAAAAAAGATCATTTTAGAATTTCAAGCAACAATGCCGCTCATTTTTAAATGTAATGTATAATTAAAAATAAAGGTTGGTAGCCATTTATAATAATCAAACTCATAGTCATGCTAGGTATGTTTTAAAAGTCATAAATAGATTTATTTAGATAGATAGATGGTCTTCAAAAACTTCACAGACCTATAGAATATGGCATTTAAAATGTTTTAATAACATAAAGCTTTTCTTGACAGTGAGACACGTCTGCTCCTGGCAGCACCAATTTACTTCAAAGATGGTGGGCATTGAAGAAACTCCATATCGAGTTTACTTTCTTTTCTTTTTCTTTTTGTTTTTTTGAGACAGGGTTTCTCTGTGTTGTTTTGGTGCCTGTCCTGGATCTTGCTCTGTAGACCAGGCTGGCCTCAAACTCACAGAGATCTGCCTGGCTCTGCCTTCCAAGAGCTCGGATTAAAGGTGTGCGCCACCACCGCCTGGCAGTTTTTACTTTCTTTATGGCAAAAGTTAGCCATTTGGACAAAGGAACTGCCTTTGCCTCAGTGGTGACAGTATGCTGTCCAACCTGGACCAGCAAGATGCAAAAGAAAGTGACTGCCAAACTTTGCCAAGACAAAGTAGGACAATCCTTCAAAATTCCCTGCTTCTCAAAATTGTCTGTTAGATATTCTAGGCTTGTAGGCCAAGGATGGATGTCCCAATATTACAATAAAATTTTCCGTGACTGTCCAGGCAGCCAGATGTCCCTGTCATTAGGTAACATTTCACCTTTCTGAGGTCTTTGATTGAGTTAAAGAATGAATAATTAGAGTTAAAGATTTCCTTAGTTATAATAAAAGGTAAATTAGAAATAAATTTTTTTTCGATTCACAAAGATGGAATAGATAATAAAATATTATCTCTAAATTTGTCAAATACAAATGAACTGGATATGTAGTTCTTACTTGAGAACTGTTTTGTTATACATAGCTTTACTATGCTAAACTTAAAATCTTCCTTTTTTTTTTTTTTTCTCAAGATAGGGTTTCTCTGTGTAATAGCCCTGGCTGTCCAGGAACTCCCTCTGTAGACCAGGCTGGCCTCAAACTCACAAAGATACTCCTGCTTCTGTCTCCCAAGTGCTGAGATTAAAGACATACACCACCACTACCTGGCAAAACCATCCTTCTTAATAAGACAAATAGGAGAAAAATGGTATGGAATAATCCTTCTGTAAATCGTGAAGATGTGTTGTTCTCATTGTTAATAAAAAGCTGATTGGCTGATGCTAGGTAGAATTTTCAGGGCAGAAAGAATGTTGGGTACAAAAAGAACAGAGTCAGGAGTCACCAGGATACAGAGGAGAAAGAGATAAACATTCCATACAAAGAAAAGATATTGCCATGTGGCAGAATGTAAATAAGACATATGGACTGATTTAAAATGTAAGAGCTAGTTAATAATAAGCTTGAGCTATTAGCTGAGCATTTATAAATATTAAGTCTCTCAGTGGTTGTTTGGGAGTAGCTGGTGGGACAGAGCTGATTGTGGTCTCGGCAAAAAACTCCACCTACACTCCTCAGCCCTGCTCCTATTATAAATCTGATGCCAGTGAAATTATATACTTGGAGGAAGACTGAGAATCAACAGGGGACCTTGAGAAGAAGGGAACCACAAGATCTCTTCCTACCATTGGACTACTGGTAATATTAGCTATAATGCTTCCTATAGGGATAGCCACAGTGTCTACACTGACAAGATCTCAAACAAAACATTTTACTAGCTCTGACATATCTGGGATCATCAGGCTTATACACAAAAGTGTATAAATTCTTTAACAAGTTGTGTTGGGAAATATATGCCAATAGCAGTTAGACCTAATATATAATAAACATATTAACTTGAAAAACAAAACAAAACCTACAAAACCACAGATCCTTATAGCAAGTGAAAGGCCTAAATAGATAGACTAACTGGAATGAAAGAGAGGCACACAATCACTGTACCCATAACTGGCTTGGAGAGCATCTCTGAGTCAACAGTATAAGGCCCTGTAGCTCATTCTGTCCTCCCCTTCATAGGGCTGATAGTGGGTCCTGCTGAACCAACTGGTGGTAAAAGTGTTGAAAAAACCAAAACAGCCTCTGTTTAATCAGTGTACCCAAAGGCCCAATACAACCCCTTCTACGGTAAGTTAATGCTTTGACTCTTCCCTAAGATCACTAGGGAATGGGCTGTGCAAATGAATCCAGGTTGTCTGAGTTTTATCCAAATTGTTCTAATCAACGGGACTGTGGAGCCTTCTGTCCCTGCCTGGCCCTCAGTGATGGAACTGTGGGTTTGGCTTAATAAACCCAATCATGCTCACTTTGGTGTAGAGAGCTTCCTGTTATGAGTTTGCCTGAAATGTCTGCAAATAAATGACACTCAGTCTGACCAGCACTGAATTCTCTTTCCCTGAGTCTTAAACTACAAGAGAGACTTTTCAACAAAAAGAAAAATCCTAGAAGATGCTGTAAATGGAAGCACAGCTCACTGATGGGGAAATACAAAGCTCGAGACTTAAACCATCATACACTTCTGAGAGATGAGCTTCGACAATAAAGACATGAAGGAGAGACCTAAAGAATGACTCCCACAGTGTCATGTTCCAGGGTGATGGGAAAGCCTGCCTTTCTGGGGGATATTTGTATGGTGATATTTTATTTGTGCTAAAATGTGATTTTATTTGTATGTTAATAAATAAAAGTGCCTGGGGGTCAGAGCTAATAGCAAGCCATAGCAGAAGTCTGGCAGTGGTAGCACACACCCTTAATCCCAATCACACGACAGTGTTCAAGGATAAAATGACAGACACACAGGAATTAGGTCTCTTTCTCAGGGGAAGGACAGCAGCGGCATCGGGTGGTAAGAAGGTGGTCACAGCTTTGGGCTACTGCTCTCTGATCTCTGGGGCTTTTAACTCTGCATTTGGCTCTGTGTTTCTTATTTAGTAAAACCGTTGAGAATTACATCTACATATTTGGACCTCAACCCTGGCCCCAAACCCCTCATTCCTACACACCTGGCTGCACGTTGGCTGCTGCTTGTCTCGTCACATCTGAAGATTCCTGTCTTTGCTCCAAAAGTGTCACCAGGTGTGGCTTAGACTCAGCAAGACCTGTTTGCAGAAAAAGAAGGAACAAGATTGTTTATGTGTTCTTTTACTTGGAACTGACATGCGCCTTCCAGTACATGGCTTATAATGAAAGAGATGATGAAATAAATGAATGCAGATAATCAGTTCCTTAAATGTTTTCTGACAGAATTACTACACTACATAACGGAATTTACAGTATCCAGATGCTGAGTTTCATTTAAAGGAAAAACATTAAAACTGAATTGTGAAACACTGTAATTAACAAGAGTACTCCATGTCTCATGCCATTGAATTTCTAACCGTCCCACTAGAGGGAAGGAAATGTACTTTTAACACAGAAAGGCTAAACACAAAAAGAAAAACAGTGAAATGATCCTTTTTTCATAATTTATTTTTATTTTTCATGTGTATTGTTGTTTTGCCTGCATGTATGTCTGTGTGAGGATGATATATTAATTTAATCTTTTTCAATAAAAAACTGGGAGTCAGATATTGGGGAAAGAACCTGAAAGATCAGAGAAGCAGGGGAGCAGCCACCACTGACTTCCTACCTCTTCCATTCCTCCATCCAAAAGAGCTGAGATCCTGTCTCAGCCCCACCTTACCACTTCCTGTCCCTCTCTACAGTCCTCCAAACCTCTATGGTCAGCTAGGTGTTAGCTCCGCCCTCTGACTCCAAGCAAGCTGTGTCAGAAAACAAGCAAAATATCACACAACATTAGGGTGTCATCTTGGGATTACAGAGAATTGTGAGGTGCCATATAGGTACTGGGAATTAAACCCAGTCCTCTAGAAGATCCACCATTGCTCTTAACAACTGAGCCATCTCACCTGCCCAGAAATGATTTTTAATACAGCAATCTCCCTAATTTTTCTGAAAACAAAGGATATGAAAATGGCTGTTGAAATGAGATCCCATGAGATAACGTGCAAATTGAGGAAGCTACATGTTGATGGTGAAATGAGAATTCACTATGGATGAGAGCCTCACCAAGGAAATCAAGGTTGCTGTAATTCTCCAACATCACATCCCTGTATAAATTCCACTGAGCAGGCTCCAGGCATTCCCTCTCTTCTGCAGAGAACTCAATGGCCACATCCCAGAAGGACAGCATTTCCTGAAATAAAGATCAATGAATGATACCACATTTTAATGTAATTAAAACCATTAATAATATAAACACCTAGATGATTTGGCCTGAAGAGTTCTCCTGTCTTCTTGACACTAGTTAGGGTCATTTGAGAAGAGAGAAGCATAATTGAGAAAATGCCTCCCTAGGACTGCCCTGTAGCCAAGCCCAGAGTGTATTTTCTTAGTGATTGATATGAGACAGCACAGCCCGTTATGGGTGGTGCCCACCCTGGGGATGCTTTTCTATGTGGTATAGGAAAGCAGGCAGGACAAGTCAGGAAGCAGTGCTCTTCTGTGGCCTCTGCTCCAGCTCTTGCCTCAGGTTCCTGCCTTGACTTCCCTCAGTGATGGACTGTTACCTGAAGTTGTAGTGTAAATAAACCCTTTCTTCTCCAAGATGTCTTTCATCATGGTCTTCATCACAGCAATAAAAACCCTAACACAGGCATCATGTGCCTGTGGACACAAATCTAAATTTTGCCCAGGATGAAAGAGAGCTGGAAATGTTTCTTACATAGGTGAGTAATATTTCTCAGACAAGTTTCAAGTGGTCACATGATCTTACACTGGACCCATCTTCAAGGAAAGTCAAGGTAAAAGATTCAATAAGCTCAGCTGGACATGATCCAATTAAGACAGGTAGAATGTAAAATGAAAACATCCACAGAATATGCAGTTAGTGCCATATGCTACTATGCACCACACACACACACACACACACACACACACACACACACACACACACACACACGTTTCTCACAGGAGGAAGTCATGGTCGGGGAGAAGGAATTTCTCAACAGTTGATATGCACAATCACGAATGTGAAGTGAGATGAAAATACAGTGTCTGATGCAGCAGCTCGGGCTGTCATCTGGGTTTCAGGATTTCTACAGATTCACTGATGGTGCAAATGATGGTGACAAGGGACGTGAGAAGGAGCAGGCAGGGGCAGAACTCACAGACTGAATGTCATTTAAGTATCTGATCATGTGAGAAAACAGGCAAGTACAGGACTAACAACACTGCTGAGATTTAACATAGAATAGACATCACTGGATCTTTTTGTCGTTTTTCCCTTGCTGTCTTTTCTCTGACAGGCATTGATTCAGGTGTTTGCGGTATTCCTAAAGCATGTTCTGCACATATAAAACCTGTGTATAAATGTGCTGAAGCTGAGAAATATAATTGCTGATGTTATTTCCTTATATCAAAATTTGCTAATTTTAGAATTTATAGTTTTCATATTTTATTGAGTAAAGTCCCAGAATGACCTAAGAGAATAGTCACACATTAATTTTTCCTTTTTATCAATACAGGAAATATCAGTATTTTATGTAATAATGAGGTATTCCATAATAACTTCATGGTTAAGCTTTAGATCCTCTTCCTAGTTATGATATGGTCACCTCTTCAAACACTATCTTTCAGGCTTCTGAATGTACCCCATAATGCTTACACACATCCAGCATTCAGGACAACAGTACTGGGGGCTTCTCCCTCTTTTCACACTGTCCCAGAGCATTCATTGCTCAGAAAGTGTAGTTGACATTTTTCTTTAGGACACAAGCCAGCTCCCAAATGATGACACAGAGACTTCTTATTAATTAGGAAAGCTTGGCTTTTAGCTTAGGCTTGTCCCACTTGCTCTTATAACTTCATTTTCCCTGTTTCTAGTCATCAGTTTGCCTTGTTGCTTTTACTTTTCTTTCATTCTATATGTCCTGCTTTCCTGCTTCCTCCATGTCTGTCTGTCTGGCCCCTGGTGACTCCCTCTGTCTATATCTTCTAGATTTCTCCTCTTACTAGGCAGGCAAGGTAAACAAATGCAACACATCTTTACACAGTTAAACAAATATACAACAACATAAACAAATGCAAAACCTCTTTACACAGTTAAACTAATTTTCCACAACAAGGAAGTCCCAAATGTTGGCTTCCTGAGGTCACTGGTCAATGGAAAATACCGTTATAGCTCCAACTTCTGCTAGCTATGATTCTTATGTTTAACATATCTCTGTCTTACATGAGTCTCAATTCATTACATTTAACATATTGCTGAGATCATGTCTTATCTTTACTGCCTGAAATAACTTACAGTTTCACCAACATTGTCACAATTGGCAAGAGTGACATATAATTCAGAGAATTAAAATATAAGTATGTCATTTCCCCCTCTGTCTATTCATTGCAACTTCTCTCATCTCCAATAGTCTGTCTCAAATACATAGTGTATACTTGTGTAATTATTATTGTTACACACACCACAAACACAGCAATAAATACGTATATGTAAATATATACATTAACTATATAAACATGAAAGGCTGATTCTGTTTAGTATTCCCTTGTGTACATTTTAAGGACTGACTACTTGTTACTGGATGAACAGTGAGTGCTTTCCTTCCTGGGAAACACTAATTCTCCCTCTCTTAGCAGTTCTCAGGTGCCTACACTTGGATGCTTACCCAGCAGACTGCCCCCTGCAGGGGATCTTGTGCCACTGTCATTGTTCAGGCAGCCATGTTGTTGGGGTATCATGGGCGCAGCTTCCCTTCACTTTCTAGAAGGCACAGCCTCATAGCAGACTTCCTGGACCCCTGGCTCTCATAGTCAATATGCCCCCTCTGCAGAGATATTCCCTGAGCCTCATGTGCAGGAACTGTGGTGTAGGGTATCTTTTGGGGCACAGCACCACAGACAATAGTCCTGTCCACTTTGTAAGTTTTAGTTTTCTGGAATGTTCTCTGTGCTGCAGAAAGAAGCGCCTTTGAGGAGCAGTGACAGCTACACTCAGTTAGGTCTAAGGAGAAGTACTTGGAGTGCAGTTAGGAATTATGACGGTTTGGTGGTATTAGTATGTTCTCCTCTATGACTTAAGACCTAACAAGTCATCAGAGGCAGCTCCAAGCATTCTATAGGTCTGTCCCCTCTAAGTCCCTTTGACAGCTGCTGCTAAGGCCACGATGTAAGACACACTGTGGCACCTTTAGAGATATCATCCCATACTGGTCATTGTTGTGGTTCACGGGCATAACAGCTAAGCAGGACTATTTATTGTTTCTCTCCCTTGGAACTTGCAAAGCACCTTCCAGCACTAAGCAAACTCACCTTTAGGCAGAAGACATTCAGGTCAGATCCAGCTCCAATCCCCTGGCTCTTGTGTCTCAAGGGCATTATATTTTCACCATAGGGAGGAGAGAGTACCTTATCATCACAAGACTTTAGGGACAACTGAAATGTATCCTCCATAAAGAATGACTACATAGAAATTTTTTTAAAAAGAAAGTGCAGACTTGAGCAGCAATGAGGAGGCCTGCAGATATTCGAGAAACAGGCAGAATGAAGCAATTTGGTGAAAAGAACACCCAGCACCTTCTCAAGGGAAAAGAATTTCAATTATTTTGGAAGCTTCTTTGTAGCTAGTATAGAAATGATGCCGCTTTTAGAAGTAAATAAAAGAAAATCAGATCCCACTCTGTTTTAACTAGGGCACTGGTTCTCAACATGGGGTCACGACTCCTTTGACAAACCTTCATCTCCAAAGTATTTACATTACAGTAAATAACCTTAGCAAAATTACAGTTATGAAGCAGCAAGGAAAATAATTTTATGGTTTGGGGTCACCACAATAAGAGGAACTTATTAAAGGGTCACAGCATTAGGAAAGGTGAGGCTGCAGAACTAGGGGGTCACCAAGAATGGGGAAATTACGAGAGTGGAGCAGGGCCAGAGCCCAGGAAACATAAACCCCTGAGAGAACCTGAGCAGCCCCCAAAGCAGAGTCAACTATAAGGACCACTCCCCACATTGCCCAGCACAGATAGCACCATTCTACATGGGGAAGTGTCTGCTGTCCTGGGCCAGTCTCCTGTGAGAAGCTGTGGGTGGAGGGCAGTGTACCTGGGAACAGGATATCATTTAGGAGGGATTTTACCCAATAAAATTAACAGCAAGCATTTCAGAGGAATTTCAGACTGGCAAAATTCATTTCTATAATGAAGAAATTCTAATGCATAGCTTAAGAGGGGCACACTGCCATCCATTTAAAATTGTTACACATTCTTACTGTAATTGTGAGGTGGAAATCTGTACTCCAGTTGAATGGTGGACTGTCCTAGAGGATAGCCTAGAACAACAGAATGGACATAGTAGATGTAATAAGAACTCTTGCATCTCCGGTCAGTATCCCTCAGAGATATCTTTTCGGAGAGTCAGACTAAACTGAAGACTAGCTGGACATTGGTGGGAAGTCAAAATGATGAGCAAAGAAGGACTGTATTTCCGGCCAGGAACTAACACATAGTGACCCTCCATTGGAAAATCACCCATTTACCGATTACATAACACAGTGCTTTCAATACACAGCACACACATCATGAATCAGCAACTCCTGGATCTTTGTCCCAGGGCTTCACTCACACAACTGTGCCATGAAATAATCACTAATGTTTGCTTAAAGCCACCAAGCTATACAATTTTATGACTGAACAAGTGGACTAAAGCATGAACAAATATGGGAGACAAAGAATAGTATCTGCTTTGGAAAAATAAATTATATAATTATAATTTTAGTTTAAAAATAAGTATCACATCCTTTGCTCTGTACATTAGATGCCTAGTTGTATTTGTGGATTTTATAGTCCATATGTTGTTTCTGAGTCTTCTTAAAGCAACAGTATGTGGAGTATATCCAATAAGGATTTGGGACATGCACTCTCATAGATCTGAGTTAATTTCATACAGATGCTTCAAAGAAGAGAACAATGGGATGCAGATTTTGAAAGAGTTGGTCATGGAACCACACACACCTTTCAATTCAAAGTGTTGCTGCATGTGATAATGACTATGGAGGACACTATGACAGGCACAAATATAACCAAAATGACAATGCAATGAAAATCTGTGCTGCTCAGGTTTATTCCTTGCTCATGTTTGACCCCTGTTCAAATCTTTTACAATTTCTCTCCATGGCCTCTGACATAGTCC